CCGCCTCGCCCCCCACCGCCCTCGCGGGGCAGGTGGGGCGAAACGTTTGCTCCCTCCACTCCCTCCTCTACCGCATCGATCGGGCCCCCGCCGGGCCCCCGCCGACCGGGTGATCGCCCCCCCCCACCTCCCCCGTGTTAGCGCCCCCTCTAAGGGACATAGCTAAATCGCTGGCTCACCACCGCACGGGGTTATTCCACACACGCACACGCTACGGCAGCGGCGAGCATGCGCGCGCCCCTGCCGGTGATTAGACTCTAAGATGCGCCCGCACTAAGCCTGACGCTAAACGGCTGCGGGAATGTGCGCGAACGCCTGCGGGCGGTCATACGCTAATCCACTTGCACTGCACACTAACACAAGCGCTAAGCGGTTACACGAATATGCGCGCGTGCCTCCAGGTGGTTAAACCCTAATCCGCTTGCACACAAAAGCTAACAAAAAGCGGCTGCACGCATATGCGCGCCGGCGGGTGTTTATGCGCTACTTCACACCCGCGTTAAGACGCGCTCTAAAGCGGCAGCGCGAACGCGTGCGCAACTGCAGGCGATAAATTGAACACACGCGCACGCTCGTAAACACTCACGAGCGTCGGCGAGCGGTTTTAACGCACCCCGCCCCCGCCCGAATACTCGCGCGGCAAGGCTGCACGGACGCGCGAACGTCGGCGGCCGTTTATGTTGTGATACATGCGCGTGCCCCACACACACACAGAAATCACACTGCACCGATACTTTGTACTAAAGTTTATTAACGGCGCAAATACACACTACCTGGGCGGGGGGAATATTTGCGAGAAGAGCTTAGCCTAACTCTGCCTACGAACGCAGTCACTCAAACGTCCGACCACGTACCTCGAAGCTGTGCTCACGGCATCGCACTCGCGCTGTGAGAGTCAGAGGGAGAAGGACGAGAGAAAACTTCACCTATTACTGCCTCGTAGCAGCACTCGCTGGCATCACACAAATGCTGCGAGTGGCTCTAGGAGACAGGATGGCAGGGAGTGGGTCTTAACGGCCCAGAGGTTGAAGACAAGAGCCCTAAAATCGTCCTGGCTACTCTTTTTATTCTCTAAACTTCAAAGGCCCAAGGTGACGTTGTACCGCGCAGCCAATCGTGCGCTTACCTGCGCCATCGTCCCTCTCGACCGTCTCTACCGTGGCCTAATTCCCTCACTGCAAAGGCTCAGGGTGGCATTGTACCGCGCGGCCAATCGTGCGCCTACCTGTGGTTATCGCCCCCCCGACTTCCCCGTTACCGTGTCCTTCCTCTTGTTCGTGGCGGCGGTCGCTGGCCACCCATTGTCCCTCGTTGCCTATTGTCTGGAAGGGCGCTTGCGCTTTTCTTACTTAATATTCTGCCCTCTGTCGTCCCCCCAATGTTGTGTGAGTAACTCATTGCGGTTGGCCCAGGGAACCTTTTCTTTCTGCGCCCACACAATGTTAAACCAATTTTAGGGGCACCGCAATGTAACCTGTCCTGCCAGGGTCGGCCAATCTCCTGGCACCGGGAAACCGTGGGACTTTCCCTCTAGGGGCCCTTCGGATTAAAACCCGATGTGCCAGGCAATCCCCCGCCAGGACACCACGTGGGTGCAAGTGCCACGTGTGTCTGTGTGCTCAGGGTGGGGGGGGGGGGGTAGTGGACAATCGCGGCGCTTGGGGAGCTGCTCCGCGGTCGTGGCAGCACACTCCTCGTGAGCCGCCGTGGATCGCGTCGTCCCCTTTTCGCTGTCATCCCACCGCCATCTCTTGGATGAATGACGGCGACTGTCTCAAATCGGACCCGCTCTGATGCAACATTCGCGTATGTGCGTGTGCGTGTGTGTGCGCATCATCATCGTTACTAGTACTCTTGTGAGAATTACGCAGAAATGGGAGACCAGAATCAAGTGTGATGAGGTTGGGCGCGCGAGTGTTTAATGATAAGTTAGCATTCAAATGTGCTCTCACGCACGCTTCGCACTCGACGACGCTCTGTCTACACCGCACGGCTGTGTGACGGGGTCGTTGTATTAGCGCACAGTGGGGTAGCGCAGGTGGTGCATTTGCCAGCCATCTCACTCAGTCAACCGATGGCACCTGGGTGCCTGTGACCTTCTGCCAGCAGCTGAGCTGTCGACACTTCACGTGGCCTCAAAGTACACATGGCCTGGCACAGGTGCCGTGGACAGCCCTGCAGCTGAACAACAGCAGAGGCTACATCTCTGGTCAGAACGCTGGCAATCAGAGGGTGATTATCATGGGCGCCGTGGCTATGAGATGTTAACTCCCTCGCCTGATATGCAAGAGGTAGTGGGTTCGATCCCGACCCTGACGCCTGCAGTATATTTGGAGTTTGCGGTGTCTCTCTCCTCGTGGTCGCGTGGATTTTTCTCCGGCTCCTCCGGTTTTCCACCTCCACATTTAGAATCAATATCACGCGCTCGGAGCAATTTGGCTGCTATAAATTTCCACGCAATAAGCCACTTCGTCGAGCTATCGTCTGCATGGCGCAGTGCGCTAACCGCGGCGCCACCGCTCCCCACTGTGTTACCGTGCAATGCTCTTCCCACGGCGCTACAATGCACTCGCATGGCGCACAGCACAAACATCCACACAGCGCGCACACATTCTATTGTGAGAGAGGTAGTGTGTGTGTGTGTATTACGTCACCGTGCGGTGTGTGTAACGCTATATAAACTAAATATATAGATACTCGTGTAGCCTCACACGTGGAAGGGTCAAGTGCTGCCAGTGGGCAGCTATTAAGGCCGTTACGGCGTGCGTGTCAGCCACGATGCTCCAAGCCGTCTTTGTCTCCCCCATCGCGAATATTTTCCAAACCGCACTCAAGAGACGCTCTTCCCATTTAAGGGGCTGCTCGCTGTAGGGGTTGCTCACAGGAGAGACGCTGTAGGGGCTGTTCACAGGAGACGCTGTAGGGGCTGCTCACAGGAGACGCTGTAGGGGCTGTTCACAGGAGACGCTGTAGGGGCTGTTCACAGGAGACGCTGTAGGGGCTGTTCACAGGAGACGCTGTAGGGGCTGCTCACAGGAGAGACGCTGTAGGGGCTGCTCACAGGAGACGCTGTAGGGGCTGTTCACAGGAGACGCTGTAGGGGCTGTTCACAGGAGACGCTGTAGGGGCTGTTCACAGGAGAGACGCTGTAGGGGCTGCTCACAGGAGACGCTGTAGGGGCTGCTTACAGGAGACGCTGTAGGGCTGTTCACAGGAGACGCTGTAGGGGCTGCTCACAGGAGAGACGCTGTAGGGGCTGTTCACAGGAGACGCTGTAGGTGTAGGGGCTGCTCACAGGAGACGCTGTAGGGGCTGTTCACAGGAGACGCTGTAGGGGCTGCTTACAGGAGACGCTGTAGGGCTGTTCACAGGAGAGACGCTGTAGGGGCTGCTCACAGGAGAGACGCTGTAGGGGCTGCTCACAGGAGACGCTGTAGGGGCTGTTCACAGGAGACGCTGTAGGGGCTGCTTACAGGAGACGCTGTAGGGCTGTTCACAGGAGACGCTGTAGGGGCTGTTCACAGGAGACGCTGTAAGGGCTGTTCACAGGAGACGCTGTAGGGGCTGCTCACAGGAGACGCTGTAGGGGCTGCTCACAGGAGACGCTGTAAGGGCTGTTCACAGGAGACGCTGTAGGGGCTGCTCACAGGAGACGCTGTAGGGGCTGCTCACAGGAGACGCTGTAAGGGCTGTTCACAGGAGACGCTGTAGGGCTGTTCACAGGAGACGCTGTAGGTGTAGGGGCTGTTCACAGGAGACGCTGTAGGGGCTGCTCACAGGAGACGCTGTAGGGGCTGCTCACAGGAGACGCTGTAGGGGCTGCTCACAGGAGACGCTGTAGGTGTAGGGGCGCTGTAGGTGTAGGGGCTGCTCACAGGAGACGCTGTAGGGGCTGCTCACAGGAGACGCTGTAGGGGCTGCTCACAGGAGACGCTGTAGGAGCTGTTCACAGGAGAGACGCTGTAGGGGCTGCTCACAGGAGACGATGTAGGGGCTGCTCACAGGAGACGCTGTAGGGGCTGCTAACAGGAGACGCTGTAGGGGCTGTTCACAGGAGACGCTGTAGGGGCTGCTCACAGGAGACGCTGTAGGGGCTGTTCACAGGAGAGACGCTGTAGGGGCTGCTCACAGGAGACGCTGTAGGGGCTGCTCACAGGAGAGACGCTGTAGGGGCTGCTCACAGGAGACGCTGTAGGGGCTGCTCACAGTCGGCACTCGGGTTGGGGACGTCGCGGTTCGAGGGCTGATTGGACGCCGCGTCTGACGGGGCCAGCTCCGAAGAGTTCGGCGTCGCATCGCGTCTCGGCGCCGTGCACGCACGCAGACAGACGACGGTGTACCGGGTAGTTGGCCGCTCGAGGCAGTTTTGACGCCCAAGTTCGACAATGATGCCGGGCGAGCTGGTTTCGGGCCTACGGGCGACATTCTCAGCGAGGCTTCCATTCCGGTTCTCGGCTCGAATATTGGAACCATGAATGTTCGTACGAGTCGATTGCTTAAAATACAAATCTCGCGAGACCATACCAAAACATATACACAGTACGGTACGATACAAAACACGGGCTTAACTGTACCGATTAATGCATTTAAGAAGCAGTGGCATTTGTCTTTGTATCAGTGAATTTATTTTCCCTTTTTTATAACATCAGCCACATACACATTGAACACACAGGCGCACATCATTCGACACACACGCGCACATATAAAGACACAGATCCTCTTATAGCCTTCACAGACCGTCGGGACAAGTGCTGTTAGCGAGCACCTATGAAGGCGCGAACGGCGGCACGCGAGGGTGTGTGGCCAGCACCGTTCCCGGCCGCCTTTGTCTCCCCAGTGCTAATGTGTACAGACCGCACCAGATACGAATTTGAGGCAGAGTGGACCTGCGAGCAAGGCGCAGGACTGGTCCGGATAAAGCGATCGTCACCGGCCTTGGCCGTGAACGGGAATCGAACTCGGTTGGCCGAGTTTGTAGCGGGGCGCGTGAACCGCTGCGCCCCCGCTCCCCGCATGCACGCGCACGCACAGACAAGACGCACGCGCGCGGGAGTGTGGGGGGGGGAGTCACAACAGAGGGGAGGAGATAATGCGGCGATACCAGGGCGAGAGAGAAGGCGGGATGGGGGGGGGAAGGAGGAGGAGGAGGAGCAGAGAGTCTGGAGACGCGGCAGAGACGGGAGACCCAGCGGCAGTGACGGGAGAAGTGGGAGGAGAGAGGCAGGGAGTCTCACACGCGGGCAGGAGAGAGAGGACACGGAGTGCTGGAGAGAGTGAATCGAGAGTCGCGGAGAGGACGGGACGTCCCTGCGAGACACGGGAGACGCAGGGAGCGCTTCGAGGGCAGGGAGAGGTCGTGGCGGAGTGCCGACGAGACGAGAGGAGAGAGGAGAGACGGCGATGGAGGCGCTCCTACGAGTTCCGTTGCTGCTGCTCGCGGCCTCGCTCCTCACCTGTCCGCCTCAACTCGTGCACGGTGAGCGGCTCACGTGCAACTCATCCTCCTCACCACCACCACTCACCTTCGCCAGGCAGCCTCACCACAACTCCACCACAACCTCGTCGCCAACGCTCACTCACTCCAGCCTCCCCAGGTCCCAGGAAACTTCACCCATCCTCACCAATCCTCACCAAGCCTCACCACCCAGACTCACACAGCCATCCTCACCAAGCCTAGCCACCCGAAGTCTATATGTAGGCTTTGTGTTCTATATATGAACCAGCTGCTATTTAATAACAAGGCAAGGCAGAGGAGATAGACTCACCAAGTTCGCACCATCGTGTCCTCTTGAGAGCAGTGACTTGGTGCTTATTTCGTTGTTTGTTCGATATATATCCGAGTAACGATCGTGTGGTGGTGGGCGGGGGCACGGTGGTGAGATGTTAACTCCCTCGCCTGGTACGCAGGAGGTCGTGGGTTTGATCCCAACCATGACGCCTGCTGCTGCTGTATATTTGGAGTTTGCGTGTTTCTGTCTCCGCGTAGTCGCGTGGATTTTTCTCGGTTCCTCCGGGTTCTCCCTCCACATTTAAAATCACGCGTTTAGAGTATTTGGCTGCAATACATTTCCACGTGATAAGCCCACTTCGTTGAGCTATCATTGTGATAGCCAGGTCGCTTCTTTAAAAAAAAACTACATAGCTCAGTGGGCCTTACCTGGTACAATAAAATACATTGTTTAGTTTTAGTTTTGTATGCGAGCCGGTCGGTTAAAGCGACCATCGGGAGCCCGCAGTGTGCGGGGTGTGAGCGTGGCACGCGTGGAGAATTTCGAACCTTCGAGGCCATTCAGGCAGGACAGCCTCTGTGAGTCTCAAGGCTCGTACTCACGAGGGTCTTGCAACGGAACGTTTCGGCAATCCTCTTGTGTTTTTTTGTGTGTGTCCTGACGAGTGCTCTGCACGTGCGTGGAACCTCGAGTGTCCGGAGAATATCAACACGTACGAGGGGATAACACTTTCTAAAAAAAGTTCGTACCAGATGGGTTTACAAACCCAATTGCTGTACTGCTATCTGCGGCTACCTCGTTGCTTATGAATCTGGGGAGTTTTACAATCCTCGTGTCTGTGACGCGGGATGAGCGGCTGCGTGGCGATTGAATCACGGGGGTCTCAGCTCCCAACTCGTACCCCTCTCCGTAGGACTCGCCTGATGATACTGGTCGTTGTAATCACCAGCAAAACGTCGTACTCAAATCGTAAATGTTTCGGGTTTGCTCTCAAACACACTGGTGTGCTGATGTAGTAACTGACTGGCACGTTTTGTCGGGTGCTGGTGAGTCTAACGATATATTTACGCGATCTAACCCTAAAAAATCTTTATAATTATGAGTCACGAAGGACGTTGACTCTCGACACCTCGGGTTGTCTTCATTTCTTCCAAATCTTCGCTCTCCGACACGCCGTGAGCAGTGGTGGCCGCTCCACGTGGAACTCGCGCGGAGCCTAGGGGGGGGGGGGGGGGGGGGGTCACTCTGAGTGCTGCTGCGTGTGGGCGGCACGCGTGGAGACAGCTCGCACCTCCACCATCCCTCTACAGTGAGGGAAAAAAGTATTTGATCCCCTGCTGATTTTGTACGTTTTCTCACTGACAAAGAAATGATCACTCTATAATTTTAATGTAGGTTTATTTGAACAGTGAGAGACAGAATAACAACAAAAAAATCAAGAAAAACGCATGTCAAAAATGTTATAAATTTATTTGCATTTTAATGAGGGAAATAAGTATTTGACCCCTCTGCAAAACATGACTTAGTACTTGGTGGCAAAACCCTTGTTGGCAATCACAGAGGTCAGACGTTTCTTGTAGTTGGCCACCAGGTTTGCACACATCTCAGGAGGGATTTTGTCCCACTCCTCTTTGCAGATCTTCTCCAAGTCATTAAGGTTTCGAGGCTGACGTTTGGCAACTCGAACCTTCAGCTCCCTCCACAGATTTTCTATGGGATTAAGGTCTGGAGACTGGCTAGGACACTCCAGGACCTTAATGTGCTTCTTCTTGAGCCACTCCTTTGTTGCCTTGGCCGTGTGTTTTGGGTCATTGTCATGCTGGAATACCCATCCACGACCCATTTTCAATGCCCTGGCTGAGGCAAGGAGGTTCTCACCCAAGATTTGACGGTACATGGCCCCGTCCATCGTCCCTTTGATGCGGTGAAGTTGTCCTGTCCCCTTAGCAGAAAAACACCCCCAAAGCATAATGTTTCCACCTCCATGTTTGACGGTGGGGATGGTGTTCTTGTGGTCATAGGCAGCATTCCTCCTCCTCCAAACACGGCGAGTTGAATTGATGCCAAAGAACTCCATTTTGGTCTCATCTGACCATAACGCTTTCACCCAGTTGTCCTCTGAATCATTCAGATGTTCATTGGCAAACTTCAGACGGGCATGTATATGTGCTTTCTTGAGCAGGGGGACCTTGCGGGCGCTGCAGGATTTCAGTCCTTCACGGCGTAGTGTGTTACCAATTGTTTTCTTGGTGATTATGGTCCCAGCTATCTAGAGATCATTGACAAGATCCTCCCGTGTAGTTCTGGGCTGATTCCTCACCGTTCTCATAATCATTGCAACTCCACGAGGTGAGATCTTGCATGGAGCCCCAGGCGGAGGGAGATTGACAGTTCTTTTGTGTTTGTTCAATTTGCGAATAATCGCACCAACTGTTGTCACCTTCTCACCAAGCTGCTTGTCAATGGTCTTGTAGCCCATTCCAGCCTTGTGTAGGTCTACAATCGTGTCCCTGACATTCTTGGAGAGCTCTTTGGTCTTGGCCATGGTGGAGAGTTTGGAATCTGATTGATTGATTGATTGCTTCTGTAGACAGGTGTATTTTATACAGGTAACAAGCTGAGATTAGTAACACTCCCTTTAAGAGTGTGCTTCTATTCTCAGCTCGTTACCTGTATAAAAGACACCTGGGAGCCAGAAATCTTTCTGATTGAGAGGGGGTCAAATACTTATTTCCCTCATTAAAATGCCAATCAATTTATAACATTTTTGACATGCGTTTTTCTGGATTTTTTTGTTATTCTGTCTCTCACTGTTCAAATAAACCTACCATTAAAATGATAGACTGATCATTTATTTGTCAGTGGGCAAACGTACAAAATCAGCGGGGGATCAAATACTTTTGTCCCTCACTGTACATTACCATCACCATCCCTCTACATCATCATCCCTCTCCATCACCACCATCATCCCCTCTCCATCACTATCCCTCTCCATGACTACCATCATCAACCTTCTCCATCATAACCTTCCATCACAACACCCCCCCTCCCTCCCCCGCTCCACCCCTGCACGCCCCCCTCCCCTCCAGAGAGAGGTCACGCAGGCGGCAGGCGGCAGGGTCAGAAGCAGGCATCACGCACGCGCCCCGGGCAGGGATGGTGCGCGCCTGAGATTCCTGGAGGGGATCGCTGTAGTCCATAGGGGATCATATAGGGGATCGCTATAGCCGCAGCCACGTGCCACCGCCACGCGCTCCGTATGGGCGCACGCGTGCGTCTATATATACAGGCGCGTGTGTGTGTGGATGTCTGTGTGTGTGTGGAGCGGTAGTGTAGCGGTTAGCGCTACGCTGCGCTAAGAACCTGGCGACCCGGGTTCGATTCTCGCTCACGGCCAACACCAGTGACGATTATTTGAACCAGTCCTGGGACTCCCCTAGGTCGACTCAGCCTCAAATTAGTACCTGGTGCTATGTGTAAACATCGCCACGAGGGAGACAAAGGCGGCTGGGCTTGGTGTTGGCCACTCACCCTCTCGTGTGCCGTGCAGCCTTTATAGGTGCTCACTAACAGCACTTGCCCCTACAGTCTTGTAAGGCTGTATGGAGGATGTTTGTCTATGTGTGGATGTGTGGATGTGTGCATGTGGGGAGCGGTGGCACAGTGGTTAGCACGCTGCGCTACAAACCCGGCGACGCGAGTTCGATTCCCGCTCACGGCCACAACCAGTGACCATTATCTGAACCAGTCCTGGGCCGCACCTAGGTGGACTCAGCCTCAAATGAGTACCTGGCGCGGTGTGTAGTAAACTGGGGAGACAAAGGCGGCCGGGCGTGGTGGTGGTCACCCACCGCCTCGTGTGCGACAGTGCCGGCACCTTCATAGGTGCCAAAGGTTTGTTGAGGCTATAAGTGGGATATGTCTTTGGTGTTGGTAGGAGTGGGGTGTCTGGCTGCTGGCTGGCTGCGTGGGTGGCTGTGCGTGCATGGGAATTAGATTACCATTCTCTGACAATGTAATTCCATTCGTTTGTCTTTTACTTTAGGCGGCGGCATGAGTCACAAACTGTAACCCAGTTCAATTTTGATTTAAAGCTTTCGTGACTGCAGTGATTCATATTCTTGGTTCTTTCGGTAAAGTCACGTAGAAGGGAAACAATAAAATACAATTTCTTGCTGTGGTTTTCACACCTGATGATGATTGCTTGTGTTGCAGTCGAAACGTCGTGAGAATTTTATTGTTTTATATTTTTATTATTTTATTGTTTCCCTTCTACGTGACTTTACCGATAGAACCAAGAATATGTAACCCAGTTCATTTAACCCCCCCGCCCGGCTCCGTGTGATCGGGCAAAGAGGCATCGCGTGCCCCTTGTAAACACGGAGCCGGGCTCCTAGCTGCGTAAACACTGAGAAACTTAATTAAAAATGGATACATCTATAGTCAGTCGTTGTTTTAGAGGTGAAACCCTGGGCTGTGAAATGATGACATTTCTGCAGCCTGTGACCATCGTGCAACATCATCATCACCACACCAACATCATCATCACACCAACATCATCATCACACCAGCATCATCAAATTTATCGTAGACAAATACTCTAAACGCATGTTTATAAATGTGGAAACCCAGAGGACCTGGAGAAAAATCCCCGTAACCACGGGGAGAGAGACACACATCCTCCAAATATACAGCGGCAGGCGTCAGGGTCGGGATTGAACTCACGGCAAGCGTGTGCTGGCCGGCGTGCGGCAGTCGCTCCTCTGTAGGGTTTATCCCCATTGCTTAAGATTACAGCCAGAGGAGTCGGGAACAGTCGGGAACGCCGTTCTGCGAATTTATTTAGTGATCCCCCCCCCCTCCCACACCCATCTCACGTCGTGTAGTCCGTGCGAATTGTTAGAATTGTTGTGCGCCGGCGAAACAAAGGAAATAACTGGCGCGACGCGGAGGGGAGCTCTGTCAGTCGATCCGTCAGCGGGCGGCGGGCCCCCCCGGTTTATTTTTAACCGACATTGTTGAGCAAAATCCTCTTGAGCACGTGGCCCGGGCTTTGGAGGGGGGGGCAGGCGGGCGTGTGGGCTGCGTGTGTCGTGCAGCATTGTAGCCATCGTGCACCCCTGACCCCGCTGCTAAGATTAAACAAAGTGTATTTAATGTCAAGACACCACTGGGCCATGTTGCCGTGGCTAAATATAACCCGCGGCGGTGGCGATGGTGGCAGTGGTGGCAGCAGCCAGCGGTGGTGGCGTTGCTGATGTATTTCCACTTTGCACTCCCGAGTCTGCACAACTGAGAGAACATGGGTTCAAGCCCTGGGGCCTGGTGGGTCTCCCATTCGGTTTTTAATGGCCATGGTAGAGCTGCTCATCTTACAGCACCCAGATAGCAGGTTCGAGCGCTGATATCCTACTGGCTGCGTCAGAGTCACGTGTGACCTCTGAGATCATGGCTTTAAAGCCTCAGGTTTAGGCGTCTGTCTCACTGAACGCTCACAACGACCATGTCCAGCCCAGGAGACAGCGCCACTGAGACCCCCCTCCACTCAAGTAACGGTCTCAGTCGGCGACTCGTGGTGAAGGCCACTCCGCGCGACGGGCTGGCCTCCTCACCGACGCTTTGCTGGCCGGGGTCGAGATTAGCACAGACCGCACACGGGCCGGGAGGAGCGCAGCACGACGGGGCGGTGCCTCTCGGAGACGGCACCGCGCCGGGACGTGGTCGCGGCGTGGAGGCGTTCCCCTGCCACGCGCTCTGACAGCCTCCCCCACACTGTGGAGCGAGAGATCTTCACGATTCCACTGGGAGAGCGGCGAGCAGAATTAACCCCTCGATACCGAGTGAGAGTAGGAACGAGATTCTACGGTCATCTCATTCGCACCGTTTTTGCCCGCCGAGGAATTTGAACGTTGACTGAAGGTTGTTCACCACTCGCTCTCTCCCGATGGAGATATAAAACTCTCGCCGCACAGTGGAGGGGCCTGTCACAGCACCGCAACAGGGAAACTCCACGTTGCAAGTTGCGTCCGATGGCTCGAGCGCCGTTTGGGAAGAGTCTGGTAGCAGCTTTGACCGTGGCGCGATGGGCGAGACGCCCGTGGGGAGAGACGGGTGCGTCGTGCTGGCATCGCCTCGGCAGTTTTGACGGGCGCCACGGTGGCTAGGAGATGTTAGCTACCTCACCTGGTATGCAGGAGGTCATGGGTTCGATCCCGACCCTGACGCCTGCTGTATACATGGCGTTGGCGTGTCGTCGTGTGGATTTTCCTCCGGGTCGTGCGTTTTTTTCCCCTCCAGTATTTAGCTGCTATACATTTCCACGTGATTTTCCACTTCGTTGAGCTATCATTTGTGGTCAGATCGCTTCTGAAAAGGACCTGTACAGCTCAGTGGGCCTTACCTGGTCAAATAAAGATAGTTTAGTTGAGTTTTCTTGTCGCCAATAGCTGCTCGCAAACTGAGCTGACTGTCGTCGTTGTTGTCGCTGCAGGAGCCGAGTGCAAGGAGGGCTGCGATCTGCGCCAGGGCTACTGCGAGGTGGACGGAGAATGCAGGTGAGGTCGCTGGTCCCTCGCTCGCTGTCCCTCGCTCGCTGTCCCTCGCTCGCTGTCCCTCGCTCGCTGTCCCTCGCTCGCCTTTCCCCTTGCGTCCCACGTCCGGTAAGCGGCCTGGCCCGCCGTGGTTGAGCTCTGCGCCGATGGCCACGCTGACCCGCGGTCAGATCATTATCACAGCAAGGGGGGTGCCCTCGTCCGACAAGCGGGCTGCGCACGGACATTACCTGTAGACCGAGGCCATGCAGCACTGCGGTCGAGTGGATGGTGATGCCAGTACCATAGTCGCCCTTCCACCTTTGTATCCCCGATAGTTACAGTGGCACCTGCTGCCGATTTTTGGCCGTGACGACCGGAGTAGAAACAGGTGCCAAATTCAGATAGCATGTGAGCACCGGTGATGGATGTGCACATGGCCAGATGTCGAACCCGTGCTTTATAGGATCCTAGTGCGGTGTGCAAATAATGGACAGCTCCACTCCCGAGCACACGCTCCGTGTAAACAAGACAAAGATCCCCCCCTGTAAAGCTTCAGCAGACTGTTGGAGCAAGTGCTGTTAGCGAGCACCTTTGAAGGTCGGCATGACACACGAAGGGGTGGGTGGCCAGCACCACGCCCGGACGTCTTTGTCTCCCCTAGTGGCGATGTTTACGCATCGCACCAGGTACTCATTTGATCCTGAGTCGACCTAGGGGAGGCCCATTACCGGTTCAGATAATTGTCACTGGTGTTGGCTGTGAGCGGGAATCGAACTCGGGTGGCAGGCTTTGTGGTGCAGCGTGCTAACCGCTACACCCAAGTAAACGCACGCACGCACACACACACGGGTATACGTCGTGTGCGCTATGTTTAGCGATCACACTTCTCGTGCAAAGCCCCTGGTGGATGTGGCGTGTCTGCTGAGTGCTGGGTGCTGGCAGGTGTACGGGTGGTGCTGTGCAAATGGGTGTGCGGTGCCAGCCTTAATAGGCGCTCGCTAACACCTCTTTGCCCCAGCAGTCCAGAGCTCTGAGAAGAGAATCTCTTGTTGGCTTGCCTCTATTCAAACGAGCGTTGGGAGGTGCTGGTTTCTCTGCCGTTCGCTAAGGCAGAGACGGAGATTCCATATTTGTATGGTGGGGATGAGTTAGTTCGTGGGGCAGCTATTGACGTCTCAAGTAATGCAGCCTCATCATAGTGGTCCTCATTTTACTGACCATGGTGGCATGATGATGGTTGTGATTATGATGCCGATGATGGTGGTGATGAGGATGAATTGGCTGGAATGATTTTATATTTAAACTTAATTCAATATAACATCTGGAAAAGCCTCACCGAGTCTCCGAATTCTCGAATCCGGGAGGGTCCTGCAATGGGCCGGTTCCTCCATAGCTCCAGCAACCATTGCCGTGGGCTCCCACTGGTCTCTCGCTGTGAGCAAGACATTCACTACGCTGGCAATGCGGATGAGCAATCGTGAACAAAAAGACGTTGACCCAGTCACGTGATGATCGCGAGCGCCACGAAGCAGGACATGCCCGGCATCAGATATTCCAGATTTTCCTAAAGTGGTTTCAACTTGTGCTCACGCCGTGCCCCCCCCCCCGCCCCTGCCCTCCCGTGCGGCGGGCTGTAGGTGCCAGCCCGGGTGGCAGGGCGAGCTGTGTGGGAACTGCACGCGATTCCCCGGGTGCCAGCGCGGCTCCTGCCACATGCCCTGGCAGTGCGACTGCGAGGACGGGTGGACGGGGCGGCTGTGCGACCGCGGTGAGTGGCCCACGAATGAACGCGTACACGCGCTCACTACGCACACACACACACACGTCAACACCAACAGCCGCCATTTGCCGCCGCTGAAAGGCGGCGACGTCACCGCAGCCCTTGTGCCAGGCTAGGTGCACTTTGAGGCAGTTGCGTGAAGTGTCAAAGGCCCGCTGGTGGGAGGTCACGGGAGAGACCCAAGCGCCATGGGTTGACCGAGATGACTGGCAGATGCGCCACCTGTGCTCCCCACTGTGCAACCTCACTGCCTTTTATCCCACTGGCGCTCCGCTTGTTGTTGTGAGCGTCGCTCCCCTGCCAGCCACTGTTGCTGGAGGGCAAGTGCTTCCAAATTCCCAGTAGCGTCCTTCACGAGCCTCCCCCACAGAGGCAGAGCTTAACTCTGCTGGTATTAGTTGTTTGCAAGCCCAATCAGCTCCAGATCTTCATGAACCGAATCAGCTTCATCTCTTTCCCAGCCCGTGCCGCGCCCATTTAGCCCCCTCTATCCGGCCAAATAGAAGCCGCTTGGGGAATGCGATGGCTAGGCATGCGGGCTACATGACTCAGCCAGCACAGCCTTGCCTGCCAGATGAGCTCATTATGTACATACATAAACACAAACAAGACAAAAACACCCCCGCATAGCCTTAGCATACTTTTAGGGCAATTTTTGCAAATTAACACGTATGAAATTCCATAAAGGCACACTAGGGGCAGGTGGCTAACACCACGCCCGGCCACCTTTGTCTCCCGAGTGGTGATGTTTACACGCCACACCATGTACTCATTTGAGGCTGAGTCGACCTTGGGGAGGCCCAAGGCCGTGAACAGGAGGGCGCTAACCGCTGCACTAACCGCTGCACTCCTGCTCCCCACACATATACTGTCCATACGTGTATGCACACACGTGCACACATACAAATACATGCACCTACACACGCGCAACCTGCATTATAATACATTTCTAAACATTCCGCTGACATTCGTGAGGATGTTCATGTAAAAATGAGGCCGGGTGTCACCGTGGTGAGGACGTTCAACTCACGGGGGCTGAAAGTTTCAAATCCTCTTTGCGATCGACTCGGCCCACCTGTCCCTCTGGTCTTCCTCTGGGGGAAATCGTCCATTGGCCATGGGAACGTGGAATTTCGGTCACTCCTGCCGCTCATGCCACCAATGGAGGCGACCGCCACGCCCATTTGAGCGAGGGAGACAACAACACTGACCTTTGACTTTTCGTGTTTTGACCCCATCCTGCGGGCCTCTTTGCGTTCACTTGCCACAGATCTGAACTTCTGCGGGCACAATCGGCCGTGCCACAACAACGGCTCGTGCTCCGACGACGGCAGCGGCGGCTTCACGTGCACGTGCGCCGACGGCTTCACGGGCAGCCGGTGCGAGGAGCGCGCTGGGCCCTGTCACCAGCAGGGGTGAGTGGCCCCCTCCCCCCTTCCCCCACATTCTAGCCCGAGGGGTCGGCAACCTGCGGCTCCGGTGCCGTGTACGGCTCTTTGGCTGCCCCCCTTCACGGGCAGATTTTTTTTAACGTAAAATCACTTGAATCTTAAACCTTTCAGTTTCAGTTTTCAGTTTCATTTATTTGGTATAGCCCTTGAGCCATTCGGCTCTTGAATCGGGTGCAACCGCAACAAACAAAAACATGAACAAGAAACATTTTAAAGTGACTACGCGCAACAGAAAAAATCCCAGAAAAAAACAGCAAAGTCTTCCAGAAAAAGCACCGAATATCAATGCTGTGTGCAAAAAACTTAGCTGAACACAAAGATAACAAGTGGCTTAGAAAATAATGGGATCACTTACGGACTGTCTTGGTGACTATTTTTAAAGAATAACTAAGGGAGGAAACAACTAAATTCCATCACCTACTTCGTTTATTTGAGCCAGAATGTGCGTTTGTCATCTGGTGTGTACCTGCTGCTGTGTCTGTGTACAAGTGGCTGTGCGTGTGATGCGGCTCTCTGACTATTTTGGTCAAAGACAAAAACAAAGAAATTGGCTCTTCTCCTTCTTCTTCTTCTTGGAAACGTTTCCGACCTCTGTTCTAGCCTCTTACCCTTATTTCCCTTTTGTTGTTTTGTCTCGATTATATATATATACTTTTGGCTTCATTGTTGAAATTTGTCATTTTGGTGGCCCAGGTAAAATTTTGCAAATGAGGCTCATCAAACAAAATGAACTTGAGACTTGAACTCTCGTACCAAGTAAAAAAAACATGCGTAAATGTTATCGGTGTTCATATATACCCCAACACTGCAACAGATTGAGCATAAACCCATGTATACGGGGGTATACCATTATAGCACTCAACGCTCCGCACAGATTAAATCTGCAGACAGACCGAATGAGTTAATTGTGTATGTTCACAGCGTCGACCGCCAATTAACTCTGCCTTTAACCTTGGGTCCCCGTGTCTCTTGTCATGTCCAGGTACCCGTGCAAGAACGGCGGCGCATGCATGGACGAGGCGGGCTCGGCTCACGTCCTCGTGTGCCTGTGCCCGCGCGGCTTCTCGGGGCCGCTGTGCGAGGTTCCGCCCGACCCGTGCGCGAGCCGTCAGCAGCGCGGGCCGCCCTCTCCGTGCGCCGAGGGCTCCACGTGCGTGCCGCGCGGGCCCTCGCGCTTCCTCTGCGTCTGTCCCCCGGGCCGGGCGGGCACGCGCTGCGAGCTTGCCGCCGCCTCCTCATCATCGTTATCGTCATCCTCCACCGCCGTAAACCCCTCCGCTTTTGCTGCCGGAGCCGCAGCCAGTCCGATCGGTTCCACCGTGCCGGGCCCGGCAATGCCTCCTGAACGTTCAATCGCGGAGCCAACAGATGCCGGAGAAGATCTGAGCAAAGCCGGAGAGGGGAGCTCCGAAGCGGCTCAGGCAAGGCCGCAGCCAAACCTTCAGCTCAAGATAACCGTCGTGGAGACAGAGCAGAGGCGGGAGGGTGGCGACGGCCTCCTGCTGAGCGACAGTGGCTGGCTGAGCGCCTTGCTCGCCGTGCTGGCCTTCGTCGGCCTGGTGCTGGCGTGCGCCCTGGCGGCGCTGCTCCACCGCGAGGGCCTGTGGAGTGCAGTGGCACGGCATGGCCCTCGGAGTGGTGTCGAGGAGAGTGGTGGCTCGGACGATGTCGAGGCCACGGCCGGGTCGCACTCTAACCTCATTGGACCCGGCCGGCTGAAGCCTCCCTCTGTGAAGGCGGTGGACAACATCACGACCCTGCTTGAGCCTGGCCAGCTTAACAAGGCCCACAAGGACATCAACCTCCGGCAGAGCCTCGCCTGTGCAAAGTCTCTCCAGGGTTGAGCCCCTGTCCGTCGCGAGCCTCCACTCTTTGCTGGGCCCAAACTGGGGGTTGCGACACTCCCGTGTGACTCTGTTGAACCATTACGATGCCGAGGCGGCCGTTTGTGTCGTCTTCCACGAACTGCACAGCACCTTATGACCCCTTCCCTTTTCGCCACCCTCTCAGGCCTCCTATCTCACCCGAGTAAAGCTCCCCCTTCGTGGGTAAGGATCTAGGCAAGTTTGTTGTGGAGCGAAGTGATTGCTGAGATATCTTTTTAAATGACATTTTTATATTATCGTTTAAAAGTAAAACTGATGTTGTTGTTGTTGTTTGGAGTTGAGCTTTTAAAAAAGGCACAAAATATCTTAGTGTGTTCAATTGTGATAGACATAGGCCGACATCAAAGTCCCACCTCGAGACTTCTTTCAGTCACACGGACAGCTCTCTGTCTCTCTGTTGCTCGCGTGACCGTGAGGATGGCCCGATCACAGGAGGTACAGCACTAGGCTCATGCGAAGGTGTGTGTGTGTTGTTGTCCGGTAACCGGTCCTAGGCAATGAAACGTGCTCGACGTGAACAACATGAATCTACTAACATCTGAAGCACAGGCACGAATTTGTATTTATTCCAAATTGTCACCGATAGTTTATATGACACCCAATCCAAACAGATGGGACTAGTAACAGGGGTGCAACTATGGGGGGGTGGGGGGGGGGAGGTGGCAGTGTCACACGATGCAAAGGAGCCCAGTCGGCCACAAGGGGGTCCCGAATCAACAGGTAAACAAATACAAACAATTATGATTTAAAGCTTTCGTGACTGCAGGGATTCATATTCTTGGTTCTTTCGGTAAAGTCACGTAGAAGGGAAACAATAAAATAATAAAAATATAGAACAATAAAATTCTCACGACGTTTCGACTGCAACACAAGCAATCATCATCAGGTGTGAAAACCAAATTGCTGTGGTTTTCACACCTGATGATGATTGCATGTGTTGCAGTCGAAATGTCGTGAAAATTTTGTTTTATATTTTTATTATTTTATTGTTTCCCTTCTACGTGACTTTACCGAAAGAACCAAGAATATAAATACAAACAATGTTAAGAAGGACTATTTTTATCAATAAAACAAATTAGCTGCGGTCTACCATGTAGCAAGCCCCATTAATGCGTCTGGCTATTGTATTAATAAAGCAGCATCAAGTTTCACAATCCACCTCCTTTCAGGACATCCTAGATCGATGGACCGGCAAGACGCACGATAACTTAATTGTGAGTAGTGTTGCGCCTTTAAATATTGTTATTAATATTGTCACTGTGACACTGTCTTCATCTAAACCCAATACACGGTGCAACTAAAATAATATATGAATATATACATAGTTATAGCCTACATATTGTATTCGGGTTAAAACATCCGTAGCTATTTGAGTAAAAGTGAGTCAGGAGAAAGGAGGGGGGCCCACAGTCGGATCTTGCATAGCACCCCCCCCCCCCCCAGTTGAAATAGGGAGCTGTGCCCATGACTAGCAAGTGCTTTTATAACCTGTAAATTCAGTTACCCAATCTGATACTGAACCCTTGGCCTTATTAGGTGTTGCCTTAGTTTGGCTCATAAAGCGTTGGACAATTCCGTTTCATGCTTGTGGAATGCTCAAGTCTGCGTCTATGCGCAAGCTTTGATTCATATTGTAAGGAGTGAACGTTCACTCAGTTGGTCTTCTCAGCACCAGAATGACCAATCAAGGGCCTTCGTACTTGCACGATTGTGGAAATGTCCAACGTCGAGTGACCTCGGACATTTCTACAATAAGAACTTAAGATATAACTCCGATTCCATGAGAGCGTTGCGAGAATTATGGATCGCAAAGTGAGGAGGGAACTTGGGAGTGATCAAAGTGAAAACAGTCAACCGATAATTAATAACATAACATGAAAGCATTGCTATGAATAACATGAATAATACTATCAATAACATTCATAACATATGCAATCAACATTCATCGCATAAATATACTCACCTCAGCAAACCGACTGGAATGAGGTGCGTGGAGCGATGACATCACACCAGCCATGTTACGTGCGGATTTTCTTCCTCGCAGCTGATTGGCTTGTGCAGTGGCAGTGGGTGCCGTCGTGCCTAGTAACCGTTGCCACACCCACAGCATTGTGATCTCACGCGCACGCGCCCGGATTTCCTTCGAAAGTAGTTCTGTTTTCTCTTGCGGGCGTATCGGATCATACTACAATCGTAGACGAACCAGACTTAAGGGAAATTTACACGCATAATTCTGTACTAAGGCTCCAGGGTGCTACGTTTCAAAACCCCTCTGTGTCCCCTAGTTGTTAGGATGGTCAAACACCCTGCCAGGACCGACAGCCTGGTGAGGCTGGTTGTCATTACTGGCAAAACGTCGTACTCGAATTGTAAATGTTGTGGGTTTACTCTCCAACACGTCGGTGTGTTGAACTATTAACGAATTGGCACGTTTTTTTAAGTGACAAACCTTACTAATTGGCTGTGTCGGGTGGTGGCGGATTTAACGACATTTATATTTACGCCTTCTAACCCAAAAACCTCTGTTATGGAAAGACATTCATCCAGTAGTGGATTGACAAAGGGCGACGTGTTATTGTTGTTATTTCATGTGATACAAAGTGAATGTTCGATTAATTATTCATTATAATTGAGCTGTATGTGAATGCGAAATCAGTCATTGATTGCACTTATACGCTTGTGGTGTACGCACAAAGGACGTCCCAAGTGGGAGGCAGCACAGCGAGTAGGTCTCCCCATTAGCATCTGCAGCATCAGCAGCATGTTGAGTGGTCTCTAAACTGCGTGCGTGGTTTTCTCTGGGCAACCACGGCTTCCACCCACGGCAACATGAAACATCTACCGAGCGGGACCCTCCGGAGAATCAGCCTCGAGGAGACTTGAGACGAGGCTTTAACTGGGGAGGGGGAGAAGACGTCAACGCTATTTTACTATTTACGGACAGCGCGTGTACAACGCAAACATTCACGGAGGTGTTCACGTCAAACCGTTTCGTCACTCGCCGTGCCGAGGTGTAGAACACTGCTTGCACATCGTCCGTTCACAATCTGCGCAACTCGCTGTACCCCAACCCACCCGAGCCCTCACCTTCCCCCTTGTCCATGGGCCACAGCCGACATCGGTATCACCTAAGAATGGCACAACCCTCGTAGTACCGATTCATTTACATGGCCAATACGAGTGAATTACTTTGATGAGCACACTTATCACGTAGCTCACCGTGTTATTGGTCACGTACATAATTTGGAACCATCAAAGTTCCAACAAGTGAAATATCTATCTACTCCGGGCTCATGGTCTACCCCCGACTTCCCTTTGGATCTTTAAAATTTGCACTGTGCTTTATATTTTTAATATATATAAACTATATGCTGTAAATGATTTTGTAATATTGAAATTATATCGAAAAATAAAGATGATGGTGATGACGATGATGATGTGCCTACCTCCGAGTTGTGCGATACGCCAAGCTCAGTGTGTTCGCTGTAGGAATGTAGACCGTGTCTGTTGTTCGCTGTAGGAATGTAGACCGTGTCTGTGCGTGTGAGCTTCCTGTGCTAACACAAGTGAGACGATCTGGACGAATGTTCATCGAAGAGGTTTTGGGAAGGGACAATGAAACTGAGCGGGTGAGGCATACAACAGAAACAGTTTGAGAACGTGTGCAGATAGCTAAAGTTTGTTATTTCGTTAAGGTAATTGTCTAGTTAATCAGTGGTAATTAATCGTTCATGTTAATAAAAACGGTGGAGTGATATTAACTGCTTCGCCTGGTATACAGGAGGTCGTGAGTTTGATCCCGACCCTGACACCTGGAGTTTGCATGTCCTCCCCATAGTCACGTGGATTTTTCTCCGTGTCCTCCAGTTTTTCCCTCCACATTTAGAAATATGCGTTTAGAGTATTTGGCTGCTATAAATGTCCACATAAGCCACTTCGTTGAGCTATAATTTGTGACCAGGTCGCTTCTGAAAAGAGCAATATAGCTCAGTGGGCCTTACCTGGTAAAATATAAATATTTTATTTTATACCTACGTGACTTTACCGAAAGAACCAAAGAGTATAAAATAAAAAAAATAGTTTAGTTTTAGTAATCAGAGTAACTTCTGTAGAGCTGTAACATGGCAAGCCATTATAGATGGGCGCTGAATGAATGACAGCTGTTTGTCCAGTCAGTGATCAGGAGACGCTGTGTCACTTGTGGCTATCGACAGGGGTGAGGAGTTCTGAGTGAAATCCTGAATTCCAGGCAGCGACTCTTGGCAGCCACGCCAGAAGTATGTGCTTCAAGCCGCCAACTGGTAAATACATCGGTTGACAACTGTGCGAAAAGTCGTCTCCAAACCCATCTACCACGTGGCAGAAAAAAATACATTTCCACCACACTCCATCAAAAGTCTCTTCATAGTACAGTGTGAAAGAAGTTCAACATATATATTAAATGAATATGATTCAACGCTCTTGCGTTGTATGGTAAAAATTCAGTTGATACCGGTTCGTGTGTTACCTGAATTAATGAACCCAGATTGGCCCTCGTGAATTCTTCGCATTGGGGTAGTGCCCTTAACAAGGTGCAAGGTGCAACGCCAGCCAGTCGTGAGCACGTGCTCCAGAGTGCGAGTTCCATCGTGAGTACGGAGGTATCCACCGCCACGCAAGGTTTGTGGATTAGGGAGATAAGTTTCAAATTTTCGACTTGATTTTTTTTTACCAAGGTGAGAATGCAAGACACGCAAAGAGAGAGTCGCATGATTGATGTTAAATTTAGTCAAGAAAAGTTTTAAAGCCACCAGTTTATTGGTCAAAATTAGCTAAATACATTGGCACATATAAAACATTATCTCTGTAAACGTGATAATCTTGTCGGGTGGTGGAGAGGACGTGACAATAATTTTGGCATAAAACTATCACGCGGTCCAACCCCAAAAACACAACATTGATCAAGGACAGTGTAATTCCCATTAGTGACGCGGGGCAGCTAAAATGACAAAAGCAATGACAAGAGAGACAGGTTAACACCTCGTAGTAGGGCTTTCGCGACCGATGTCATCCATAAAATAGTTTTTTTGGGTTAGATCGCGTAAATGTAAATGAATAGATATATATTCACAGTTACGATTACATGTGAATAACCCAACTAATAATAGAGATCCATTGTACTTTATATTACTACATGAACCCCCCTGTAAGACGGAAACAGGAGGAATTCTCACAATTCTGTCTGTCGCCTGATCATGCTGCTGGTTGTTGATGTTGTAATTAGCAAAACGTCACGGTACTCTCCAACACACAACCGGTGTGTGCTGAACTCGTAACTAATTGGCACGTTTTGTTTAAGTGACAAACCTTACTAATTGGCTGTGTCGGGTGGTGGCTGGTTTAACGACACATTTATATTGACGCGATCTAATCCCCCCAAAAACTCTATTCTGGATAAGACAAGAGACCTGTAACTTGGACTTAGAAATCATTCCTTTAGGCACAGAGGAATCAAAGGTCGACCCCTTTCCTATCGATTCTGAAGAACAGCATCATGTTGTGACAATGCATCCATGCACTAGTTCACCTACTTTCCATGCATTTTTGAATTCTTAAAGCATCGTTGCATCAAGTAGCAAGGCATCGATTCGTCACCGAATGATTAATCTTAAAACTCACGATACATGCTTCAAATAGCGTGCGCAATAACCGAGCGTTTACGATTTATGCGACTTGTACGCTAATAGAACATTTTTCTTGTATGCTAATTGTACATTTAACTTGTATTCTAATAGCGCATTTAACTTGTATGCTAATAATACATTAACCTA